ATGTATTAAAAGAACACTGGTTCTTGACCTTTTAACTTTATTTGATTTGTAAATTTTAAATATATTGCTTTCTTCTTTTGTTGACAAAAGAACATAAAAGAGTTTCGTGAATGAATATTAAAAATAAAATATAACCGATCTGATTTAAAAGTACTCAAAATTGCCTTGTATTTCATTTGAGTGCTGTCGATATAACTTCTGAACATTTGGTGTCTGCCATTTTTATTTCGACAAAGGAGGGGGGTTGAAGATTAAATACACAAAGAATTTTTAAAGTCCTATTAAAGGAAACAAGAAATGTGCATCATCCCTCATTTTGGCCCGCTATTAAAAAAGTGAATAGATAAATTTCAGCATTTTTAAGTGGATTGAATATGAAAATAAGATATGCATCATAAGTGTCTGCATGCTATGAAATCCAAATTAATTAAAACAGCCAAATTGTCAAAATCCGTTAAAATGATTTCCTTCAATAATAGAATTGTGAATTTGTTTGCGTAACAGTTGCTTTTGAAGTGTTAAAGTAAATTAGGCAGATCATAAATATCAATTATCCTTTTTGTAAAATGTTTGATGAAAAGCAGCTTTGAAATAAATCTGTGATCGCAAAAGCTTTTGAAAAATAAAACGAGGACCCTACTGTAAAATGCAACTGAAACCAAGCTTGTTGTTCCTTGGCCTTTTATTAGCTTACTATAACCGATTTTACTATATAATACGGAGTTGAAGGCCACATTGTGACATTTACATCCTTGTCTCACTGGCAATCATACTATATATCATTTTTTCTATATTGCTGTCAAAGTCCGGAATAGCTTGGATGCGAGTTTTTTTCTCCTTTATGATTATGTTGAAAATATTCATAATAAAAAGATAAGAAAGCTGGAAAGATTTCAATCGAAGGAAAATGCCTTTAATATTGATGCTCAACGTGTAACGTCATACCAACATGAATGCAATTATGCCTTTCAATAAATTTTTGTAATATCAGACAACTTGAACATAAGTTACAATCAGTCCTATATAAGTTTGATATAAACGATTTATCGGATGTATAAATAACTTTCAAGGCATTTTATTATTAATTTATTTCGTCTGTTTCGATCAAAAACTATTTCATCTAATTCCATTTATCTTTCAAAATTAGTATTGCATCACGGTTAACAATTAAATAATCAGCAAGAAATCCGGTGCAATGAGAACGATAAAAAATCCATACATTAATACATTAGTTGCCTGTTGTAATGCTTTAAAGTGCGCATATAAATGTCAAACTATCTCACTTTTAGACCACATTTAAGATAGGTTTCGAAGATTTACTACGTGGTTTAACACACGAAACGAGATTTATCCTATATGTTTGATTAATTTTGCCCTTCATTGTCTCACATGATTTGAGTTCATGACATTGGTACATTCTGTTCTTGTTGATCCCTGATATACGATCCTTGATATACCATAAAACACATGACTGGTAGTATTCTTTAGGGATTTACTTTTTGTTGTAGGCGGCATTGCTGTGACGGTCAATGATGTTGCGTGATTTCTAGATAAGAAGTCGCTTCGAAATGATATATCTGTATGAAGTTTCTGCTTGCCATGATTGTTCTTTATATTAAATTTGATTGCTTCTCAGAGTGTGTCATTTTAGATCTATGTTTAGACGGTATTTTGATATTGTGAGAACTCTCTTGACACTCTGTCAGGAAATGATTTGTAATTTGTCTAAAAATACTTCAATCAATGCTTTGTGGTGATCAAATGCGGATTCAATTAGAAAATATAAAACTGACAACTTTTGTTACCACTGAATATAAATTTTCAGACGAGAAGACATTGCATTATTTGGGAAAAAAACTGCCTTTTTATATTAACTTTTATATTAACATCAAATGCATTTATTTTTATCATCAAAGTGTAACATAACAGTTACATTTATATATGGCCTCAATATATAAATTCATAAAAGCAGGATCTGCTTACTCTCCCGGAGCACCTGAGATCACCCCCCCCCCCCCCCCCCAGTTTTTGGTGGGGTTCGTGTTGCTTAGTCTTTAGTTTTCTATGTTGTGTCTTGTGTACTATTATTTGTCTGTCTGTCTTTTTATTTTTTAGCCATGGCATTGTCAGTTTATTTTCGATCTATGAGTTTGACTGTCCCTCTGGTATCTTTCGCCCCTCTTTTAATATATGCAATCCGACCGTGCTTAAACAACAGAACCAATTTCAGTCTTTTGATGTGTTATGTTTGTAGCTAATAGACAACATCATGGCCAAAATAGAAACAACAAAAAGACGAACATTTATTTGTATCCATCTGATGAGTTAAGCCTTTTTAAACTAATTTTTATAGTTTGTTCTTGTGTTTTACTGTTACACCACTGTCCCATGTTAAGGGGAGGGTTGGTGCCTTCATACTAGCTAAACTGTATGTGCCTGTCCCAAGTCAGGAGCCTGTAATTCAGTGATTGTCGTTTGTTGCTGTGTAACATATTTGTTTATCGTTCATTATTTTGTACATAATTTAGGCCGTTAGTTTTCTCGTTTGAATTGTTTTACATTTGTCATTTCGGGGCCTTTTATGGCGGAGCAAGCGGTATGGGCTTTGCTCATTGACCTATAGTTGTCAATTTCTGTGTCATTTGGTCTGTTGTGGAGAGTTGTCTCATTGGCAATCATACCACATCTTCTTATTTTTATATACAACTGTCATTAAAAACACTGCACAGAAACAGTAAGTTTGAGCAACAAGAACATTGATTTAAATGGAAGATATAGCTTTAGGGTCTGCACATCCAAAATCATTTATGTCTGATAATATTCAAACCTAAACAACTTTATGGATAGTGGTAAATCGTTTAATTTTAAAAATTAAAAAAAAGACCTTTGTCTTCAAACCAATTCTTTAATTTATGTCTGCAAACCAATTCTTGCATATTTCATTATCCACTTAAGCACCAAATCCATAACAAACCAAAATTCAATAACACACTTGATAATTCACTTTTGCGCAATGGACTGATGTTTTCCATTTTAGGTTAATAGATTGGCATTTTGGTTTGTGACGAATTAGTAATATGGGATGGGACAAAATGGGGTTGTAGAGAATCCTTTTAAACAAACGGAGTTGTAGGTTATACGTCAATGTGACAACAACTCAACGACACAAAGAATAATGGACGTCTTTAGGTCAACGTACAGTCTTCAACAATAGACAGTTGACTGTACACTATATCAAGCTTTAAATCACCCTTGTAAGTTCATTAACGCCGATGTGGTTTGTCCGATGAAAGTACAGCTCAGATATCACAAGACATATCTACAAATAAAGATTTTGTTCTATTCTTATCACAGTATATGGTGAAACTGATGCTGATAATTTATAGGAATGGAAATATCCAAATGAATTTAAAAAAAAAAGATACTGAAATACATGCTTTGAAATAACAAAGCAAAACATAAGGAAAATAAAGAAGAAATATAATTTCTATTCCTTCAGGGATTTTAAAATGCAATTAAAACAGTTGGGTTTTTTTTAAATGCAATTCAAATGATATTTAAAACTTGAATAGAATAGCACAAATCTAGAATACCATGTGCGTTTTAAGTTAACAATAAAAGATTTCAAACAACGAAAATTAAACCAAAATTTTATGCTGCTGAAATGTGATTAATTAGCACATCCTTATATTATACGCTTGAACTTTAAAAAAAAAAAAGAGTATAAAAAAGATAAGGTAACGGATTGATAAATATTTCTTCCTCTGCATTGGTATCTCCACCAGTAGTCGATACTGGAGAAATCTTCTTTGCTTCAGTTGGCAGAACAGTGGCCATCGGTTAAAATGGTTTGAGGTTCGGATTCACAGGTAAAAGTAACAAGAGGAAAATGCTTTGTCGCGTATTAGATTGAAATTTACCGTGGAACATCTGCCAACATCTCAAATTTGAACCAAGCAGATGATATTAAATCGATATTCCAAATCGACTGAAGCGTTTTAAATTGCAAACAGGTGATGGATAAATGTATACAATACAATGCACCAATTAAAGGTGATAATGGGATTTCCAACGAACCCTTAGTAACTGTTCTATTGTGTAGCAAAATTCTGAAACTGGAATTAACAATTAGAAGCGCACAAACTATTCAATATTAAAGAGACTAAATTGTCAAGATATATGCACAGAATTAGAATATACTAAGGATAGTCACAAATTTTAATTCCAAGAATAAAGGACAAATAATCGTCATTAATCAGTAGAAAACTGACACATCAAATAATGTGCAACTTTAAATAACGAAAATTTTCTTTCTTTTGTTTTCGAGATATACGAATACTGGTCACATGTTGTTTCACCTTTGAGTGCAAAGGTCGACGGTAATTTAAAAAGCAGATTTCTCTTCAAATGTTAACAATAAAAAAGAGCACTGTGTTAATCTTTTTGAACTTGACTCAATCTGTCTTTTTGTGGACAATATAACTTTTGATTTAAAGCGATTTAATCAAAGTAATGCATTTTCCAGTTCTGTTACATGCGACCCGGTCTTGCAGTGATAACTTTCAAATTTGAACAATTACCTACCCACTGTTACTGCAATCAAAACTTGATTGAACATCCTGAAACTCAAAAGAGAAAAATTAACCGACCCAAAAAACAATAAATAAAAAACGATTATATATTATTGAACAAGCAGTCGTGAAAAAATAGATATATAAACAGAGAAGTGATAAATGTTAAGTCTTGAGTAATATGATGAAGAAAACAGAAAAAAGTAACCGTAAGATATTTAACTATTGAATTAGACTTCTATGATTAATGTTCTTTGAATACCCATTTGATTATAATTAGGAAACTGTTATAGTGTAAATAACATATTAACTCGGTAGAAAAATGTTTTGATATTGGTAGGAAGATGAAGCGATTTTTAGGTATTGATCAATGTAGTTTACTGCATCATCTATCTTGTCATAAAATTATGTTTCATTTTCTACCAACAGGTCAAAGCTGATGTATATATAGTGAGACAGGAGATAAGTGGCAGGAATCTGGCGGTGCAGACGACGGATTAAAGCACGTAAAGCAAGTTGAATATTACATAACAGTAATAACAACAGTGGACTTGGAGGACTTTGTAGTTTTTTCGTCTAGCAAGTAATATAATTTGCTACTAAATAATTGACCATTTAATTTGACCGAATGTGTCTGCATTGTAAAGCGTTGATAAATATAGTGAATAACCGTTCATAAAAAGACAGTTGGAACGCGGTTGATAACGATAGATGATTTAGAATAGGGAAAATAGATTTTTTTGTAATAATTACTGCTATATTACATTTTGTTACAAGCGATAATTGAAACACAAAGTTAAACAACGGGATATCGAAAGTTAATAGGATTATAACCTGGAATTATTGGAACATTTTATTAATATTGACCAAACTGTCATTTAGAGTTCATCTTATTAATTTAAAGGACATTCGTCAAAAACATGTCAACTATGGCTGCTATTTCATTGAACTCCAGACCAGAAGGATTTCCAAGTTACTTTACCAATAATTCTGTTGAATATGCAGTGAACACAACCAACATGACGAACCTAGAAAACAGAGGACCATCAGATACGGCGCTGTATATTGGTGGTATTATTATGTTGATTGCTCTACTTTGTGGTCTGTTCGGTAATTTTTTAGTCATGATAGTATGTTTCACCAAGCGGGACTTGAGTAATATTATCAACATCTTCATCATAAGTTTATGTATAAACGACATAATCAATCTTGGATTTAACAACAGTTTAGTACTGTTGTCATACTTCCTAGGAACCTTCCCGGCAGATATGTTAGTTTGTGAGCTTCTTCAGCATTTAACTGTTTTGCTGATGGGCTCGTCATTATGGCACACTGGCCTTATTGCCATACATCGTCTCATCGTAGTTGTATTTAATACATTCTACAAGAAAATATCAAAGAAGGCATACACCATTTTTGTCTTGATTTTTGCCAGAGTTGTACCGTTGTTGTTCATAATGCAACCTTCACTCGGTAGCATGGCTTACTATGAACCCAAACTAATACGCTGCGTTGTAAAGAAAGACTTTGGACCATTCACTCTGCTTGTTTCTGTATTTTTAATGATGTTACCATCGGTGATTCTGATTTTATGTTATATAGCTATATTCATCAAAGTTCATCAGTCATCGAGAGCTTTTAGAGGATCAAGACAGCGAGAATGGTTAAAGAGAGAAATCAAAATTACCAAAATGTTTGGAATGATTTTCTTGTTGATTCTGGTTGGCTACTTACCGTATGGAATCACAAGAGCAATTGATAAAAAACTACAATGGAATGGAGATTTTTATGTAGCTATTACTGTGTTTTTTGCTGTAGCGAATAGCTCGAATCCAATTGTATACGGCATCATGGATAAACAAATACGAAGTGCTTGTTTCCAGATTTTGGGGCTACGCCCAGTAGATGTTAATAAAAATGGTGGACCAATTACATTGCATTCAAAATTATCTCACGTTGATACTTGTGTTGATACTGAAGATTTACCCTTGAATTCTTCACCTGGAAAAGCGGTGTGAGAATCGTTTTGACTTGCTCATTTTCAATTGCCGAAAAAAACTGAAATCCTGTATTGACAATCAGTTTGTATATATTTGTAAATATTTAACAGCTTATGTTAATTTATTCTTTATTTATCAAAGAAGTTAAGATGTAAAGGTTATTAGTTTTTTAATCGATCAAAGTTGTTTTTTAAAATATTGAACATTCAAAACTATTTCCTTTGCTATGCTCTTATATTATGATTTATTCAAACAATGAATGTAGTAAAAATAGTAAAATCTATTTTATATTCGATTTTTAAAATACATATTTTCAGTCATCATGTAAAAGAATTTATTATATATTGTATAAAATCAAGTAGCCAAGCACAATAAAACTGAAGACAACGATTTTTTGCTTCATCATGGAAGTATTATATTACTTCCCTGGCTTCACAAACGTCTCCTTATTTCATTCAACTGAATTTCCAATGTAGTACATCTTATTTTATTATTTTGCTTTCGTGTAAAGCAATGCCATTTACTCCAAATGAGACTTCCATCATTGTCCATAAGGCTATTCCTATAAAGATAATAAATTGCTTCAGGTAAAATAGCAATATTACATATTATGATTTGTGAATATTATTGACCGATTGACCGTTGAAAGTCTGTATAGAGACCATGATATATATTAATTACAACATAAACATTACTGCATGCAATATAAAATAAAGCCTAAAGCATTCTTTGGTAATCATCAACAAATGTTTTTATTTATTAAAAAGAACGGTATGCAGCAGCTGTTAGTGTATTACAACATGCTTAGAAATACCATTGAAAGTTCATTACTTGATCATATATCAGCACTTGTAGTTTTATTTTCCGACTTCTTAAAGAGTAGTTGTCACTATCAAAGTCGAAGTTTTTGAAGGATTGTTGATTGTGACAACCGTCAAAGAAAACTTTGATCAAAAACTTTGTCGGGCTTTGATGGAATAGAATCTCATCCTATTTTCCTTGAAACTTGGATGGACTTTAATGGGAATTAGCCAATCAATTTGTAGTTTAAGAATGGTGCATTTTTTTTGTTTTGTTTAAAAAACAAAAACCTATGGCAAAATTTGAGGAAAAGTAGGCTGATTTCAAGTAAGAGTAAAAGAAATTGCTGCGGAGAAATGAAATGATCGATGAATTTATTTCAATCAGATGTTCAACTTTACAAAGTGTGAAACTGAATATCGCTTTGAACATTTAAAAGAAATCATAAATTCTATTTGTAAAGTTCTTAAATGAGAGTGTTTAAGGTACTTTTGTGTATTTTAAGCAGCTACTCTTGTACAATTTCTCATTCGTCTTCTGCAAATGGTAATACACAGTGAAAGTGCAATGCAGTCATTCTATGGGAAGTTTATTGGAGCCATTTGTCTCTTTTTAAACAGCGAACAACCGCCTTTTCTTTATCCAGGTTTTTGATGTAAAATTTTAACATTGACAACAGATGAATTTGACCAAGTTTTGTTGTTCAAAGTTTTACTTTGACCAAGTTCTTGATGGAAAACTTTGATAGTGACAACGGGCCTTATAATAAATTTAACAAGTTTATTGTACGTAACTGTTTGCGAGTATTTTATTTCACGTTGAACATCTGTTGAGAACAAAAAGTCTATTTTCAATGGTATTTTAAGTGTAGTGTAACTTACTTAACGCCAATGCTAATAGTGTTCTTGTATCGTTGAATTCATACTGTATTTAATTTCTGGTGGTCTAATAGCATAAATACATCACACAGAAACTTCATTAAAACAACAAATATCTCTCACTAAATTGTTTAACAGTCCACTGACAAACTGCACAGTACATTAGTTATTAATTTGAAATATTTGTGTTTGTCAATGTTCCGGCTGATATATAATAAATCATATAGAGTGTTACCTGAATAAACAGACATCAACGATTGTTTTCATTTATACAAATACAATACAATACATTCCATTAAGGGACACGCTAAACATGCATTTTTCTTAAAAATATCTGTTTTTATGAAACAGATAAAAATAAATTTATCTTTTCAATTGTGTTTTTTCTTTTTCTTAAAATGCAGAACAAACATTTTAGATTTATGTTAACATCAGAAGTTTTAAAAATGTTTAGAAAAAACAGTGTTTACTGAATTATTTTTAAAATTGCTTAAATATCTTCATCGATGAGCTTATTTCATCCTATCCTATAGGGAGATATATTTTTATTTATACTGTTGTTTAGATGCAGTGAAAAGAAACATATGTTGCTTTGCAAATGTCAGACAACATGCTGAATAAATCTTTATTGTCAAAATTTAGTACAGAAAAATTTGTTTTTTAAATATTGTGATATAAGGAAATCATTTATAAACTAAAAATCTTCAACAAAATAGTTTCATTTTAGTAATGCCAGTATACTGAACGAATGGTAACCTTGGAATGTCAATCCACCAGCAGCAGCAACTGCAACGATTCAGTGGTAGTAATATAAACCTAAGAACAATGATCAAAGAGACGAAGGTTACACTGTACTCTTCTTGTCTTAATAACAATACTAACAAACATAACATAAAAGTATAGAAAAATCAACAAACAAACGAACAAACAGACAGACAAACAAATAAATAAACTGCCACCAATTATCAATACTGAGATAAGGGAATATTAACGAATGATGCCAATGTGAGTGTGCAAGACACATGTATCTGGAATAAGCTTCATCAGGTCAATAGAGACCATATTCCCGAGACATTAATCGGAGAATTTCTGCCATCGGATCCTATAAAAATAACCCCTTACTAAAATTGATGCATCTATATGTACAACTACCTATCCCTAAGTAAATTAGAGAAAAGTGTAATGATTGATTTATAACCTTAAAAGTGCTTACATTATCTATAGTAAAATATCTTTAAGACAGCAAACCATCAAAACAGTACTTAAAAGGTCAACATATGATTTTCAACATAAGAAAATTATAAAACTGTATGTCCAGCCCAAATTGTCCCCCCCCTCTACACCCGGTAAATGACTTAAGAAACTAACGCATCCTGCCATCAATGCCAAATTGCTTAAAACAAATTATTAAGATACAAACAAAGCCGTCATTATTTTCACTTCATTAAAGATACCGTGCTATTTCCGACGATATTTCAAGAAAGACTATCTACTATTTCCTTTGTAAATAATTTTGTCGTTTGATGGCAGCTTATTTCCAATTATCATTATTTCTTGTCTAGAAAACGAGCTCTATCTCTCCGTGTACCCTTTGCCTTCTCTGTACCCATGGATACTGTAATAACATTTGTGTCGACTGTTTATTGAGTTTTAACATTGGTATAAATCAGTTATTGTATTAATGTACTTTTATTAATTGTTCATGCATGTGATTTTATGTTCCAATGAAAAATCTCAAAATCTTATTAGTAAATAGACTAACAAACATAAATCATAATTAGATATCTAAAATGAACTTTACAAAAATTGTAAAATTACCAAGAACTAGTACTGTTATGTTGTTCTTTAGATTTTAACTTGATTTAAAAAAAATAATAAATTTACTTACTGATGAGAAAATAAAATGTTTTCTTAACTGACATAATAAAACCATACATCTCAAACACACAGCAACTGCAAAAGCATTCATAAATTTTGATATTTGCTATTAATTCCAAATGCTAAAAGTAATGTAATGAAACAAAAAAAATTCTACAAATTTGTCATTTTAAAACCAATATTGTTTGCCAGCTTTATTAGATTTGTAGTGATAAAACTTGGGAAATAGTTTGAAATTAAGGAACATATCTCCCTCATGCATATAGCTTTGTCCGGATTTAGCTATACTTTTGTCTTGTTTTCGTTATATCAGCTGTTTAACCGTTTGTTTTAGGCTTTAGATATCCAAATATATTGGTCTCGGTGGTCACCGAAAATACATTATTGCTCGAAATGCGAGTCCGGGACGGTAAAATTGGTACCGTTACATGTTGTTATTACTGTGTTTAAATTTGCACCAAGATGTCGTTAAATAAAATTGGATACCCTGCATTTATTATGCTTTTCAATAGCATATGATCACATTGCCGAAAGACCCCTGCTAATTTATTGAAAACTATCATTCTGCATTGACAATAATATCTTAGTGTTAATTAGATACACCAATTCGGGCTAACGCCCTCAAGGTTTACCTAATACATACCACTGAAAGTTCGTTTAAGAATTGAATGCGTACTTTTGCAATTCTATTTGACGTAAAAGCGTTAACCGAAGCACATTTTGTATGAAGCGCGAGAGCCTCATACTAGAGATGTGCGCACGTTTATCGCTTTTACAACCCAATAAAGTTACAAAAGAAGCATTCAATTCTGTTAATTATATATCCATGCTACAAACATGAAATAACGAGTTAAATCAAGCCTTTTGCTTGCTCATCTATGGATAGTTGTATCGTTGTCACGGAGAGCACGTGCTTTCATAGATGCATTTTGTATACGGAAATAAAAATTAACTTTTGGAACGCTTCGACCAATTAAAATTATGGAATCGTATGAAATTTCTATGCAATGTAATAATTATCTGATAAAGGATCAGCAGAACTATTCTGTTTTTTTTTTGCCACCCGTACTCAAGCTCAAATTGGACGATTTCATTGTTCGTTATTTACTTACAGATGTTCTTCGTACAATAGAGCTGGACATAAAAGCTGTCAAACAATAGCGGTCAAGCTTTCCGTTTATTTAGGCAAATAAAGAAAATACAAATAAGTGAACTGATCAATATATAGGTAACTATATATATACTGTGTTTCTGTAGAGTTGATTTATATCAAGAAATTACAAATCCTCGCATTTTATCTGTTTATAAGCCTTGTACAAATAAATTTTACTTTTTGAGACAATATATACTTATTCTCTTCATACTACAGCTTTTAAAAAAAATTAAAACTGTTCCAAAATGACATATTTTAGGGGACTTTAAATGTCGGAGGTCGTCATATCAATAAAAAATTATCACATCTATACTACTAAAATAACGAGGTCCAATTTGTTAGCCGGCATGACGTAAACACGAAGAATAAAAGAATTCAACTATATATATAACGTATATAGGACAATGGTGTTGATTAAAAATTACACCATTCCAGGGCCCTTTGTTTGCCACATAATCAATAATACCAATAATTAACAAGTCCAGGGTCGAATCCGATACCGATACCAATAGTATATTTCACTTCTTCTCTTAGTTAATTCCTACGTTATCGGAACAACCGTGTCACATGGTATTAATCTCGGTATTAATAGCCCTTGATTTTAATAATACTTATTTAAAAAATAAAAAGGGTTTCTTACACTCCTTCATAAAATATTGAATATAATACGGCGATATATCTATCTATACTACTAAAATAACGAGGTCCACACCCAATTTGTCAGCCGGCATGAAGTAACAATGACAGCTGAATTCAACTTTATATATAACTTATACAGGACAATGGTGTTGATTAAAAGTTACACCATTCCAAGCCCTTTTGTTTTCCACATAATTCATATTACCAATAATTAACAAGTTCCGGGTCGACGGGTTCAAACAGAAAGATTTTGAAAGCAGAGAAAACTGTGCACCTTATAATCAGCATAACTTTATCAGATGACAATACGAATACTAAAAATAAAGCGTAGGTACTTTAATTCAGTCACGGTCCCGCGATATCGCGGATGTGTTCTAGTTGTCATTAAAATGACGACACTTTTAAAGTTAAGATGCGAAATAAACGTACATACCACAGTGAAAGGCAGTGATTTGTTGTCTGATGCAGAGAATTTCGGATCTGTCTCTATCAGTGGGCCCAAAATTAAAGGTAAGTTGCAAGGTATTATTGGATCTCTATTTCAATCCTCAAAATCGTTTTATGCATTCAGCATCAAAACTATCGGTTTGATGAAAGTTATTTTAGAAACACAGACCATGTGCTTTCAGGTCGACATCAAGCGTTTTCAAACCATCGTGTATAAAGGAAACATACGGTTAGCCGTAAGAAACAAAACAAAAAAGAAATTAGCAATTTTATCAGTGATACTGCGGGTTTCAAGAACAACCAAATACATTTCTTCATAACAAGAAAGTGTTTTTACTGACGCAGTCAGTAATAATTTCGGTTTGTGACCTATTTAAAAAGGATGTAAGAAATTACGGAATAGAACAAAACCAACGAAAAAAGATCTACGCTATAATAAAGGAAAACATTACGGACATAAAATCAAACTTAAAAATGAAATTATCCAGATAAATAAAAATGAATTCAGATAAAGAAAGTGTCATTATCACCACTGTCAAACTGTTTGGATTTTGTAGACTTAGCCTATAATACATGAGTATGTAAATATCACTGACGGGTTCATTAGATATGCCATGTCAATTAGACTATTAATAGCTCGAGTGCTATAAATATATCTTATCGATTTTGTGTACTTACAAGTGCATTCTAAAGCTTCAAAGGCGTAATAATAATAAATATCAATATTAATTTCTTGTCAAAAGCTGCATTATATAGATCATCTCCCTTTGGCGTCCGTCCGTCCGAAATAGGTGGTATCTCTAATTGTTAAAGTTGTGCTTGACATATAGTCAAATTGTGCGCAATTTTTTTTAACTATGATAAAGATTCATGGTTTTATTTAAACTCTATGCTCACATCTGAATGCGTCAGATATCTTTTTTTAAAGATGGTACTTGTTTATAATATCTTTCTTCATTATAAGCACATTCAAAATAATGTTTACTGATTGTCACAAAGAAAAGGCTTGAATAAATGTTCATTTGTTAAACATAATTCTGGTACGTTAATTCATTCGTGTTTCTACTTTGATTGTGTTAGGAATTTGCCTTCAGAATCAAGCTCTGCTTAATTATTTTAAATGGAAAGACGATAATTTTACTGTCTACTGACAAACTAAATAAAACAATTTCAGTACCGTAATTTAAATTAATTACACAACTCTGAGGAAATCCTTTTCGAGAGAGCGATAAACATATCGGATATGCGATAAACCGACTTCGATTGG